TAACACTACTGCTTTGTGCAAACTTTGCACATAACTAGTAAAAATTAAAATAAAAATAATAATAAAAAAATCACACTTTTACATTTCCACTCTTTACAGGAAGATTTTGTCAAAAATCCTTGGAAGTACTGACTTTATAAATACTTCACCTAAAGTGAGTTGTCTGGTCCTCCATATGCAGGTGTATAGAGAAGAAAGAATGTGAGATTTCAGCTTTCTTGTTTAAAGGGCAGCAGGCCAAACCCCACTTTCAAATAAATGAAGTATCTTCCACCCCAAAAATAAACCAATAAATGGATCAAGCTGTACTGACACCAGATTTTAGACAGCTACATGCAGCTCCACAACCATGTATGCTGTGGTAACCACAACGTTTAATTAAATACACTCAGACTGCAAAAATCAAGCACTGCCACCAGTTTAAATTAACTATTGCCAGTGCCGTACTCTGAAAAATAGAGGCAATCCCTGGCAGCTTGTTCAGAAGCAACACTTCTGCAGAAGTCATCAGAACACAAAGTAATAGCGACCATGATTTTTGTGGCAGAGGAAATGAGTCACAGCAAGCTCCCAGTGAGGTTCAGAGGCTTCTAATGGGTGATTTTTATCCAAGGAAGTAAGGCCAGCTCAATGTTTCCACAGCTCCTCTTAAGAGGGACAATCACAAGCTATCACAAGCCATCACTCAACACTAACCTTCTTCAGAGGTGGATCACTCTGGTTTTGCTCTTGCAGGGAGACAGTAATTTGATTGCTAAAGCCTGGAATATCTCCTCTGCTCATGCCAGCCTATGCCGCACCTATATTCCAGAGCTGAGCTGCCCACAGCATCACCAGTGACATGGCAACAGGCTTGCTGAGCTCAAACATCACTCGGATAATGGCATCAGCAATGTGATATTTGAGGCATTTCAACTTTTTCCATATGAGCTTCAAGTTTTATAGTCAGGCTCCTTAAAGAATACGCAATTTGGGATACTCAGCATTTGAAATATCTTCCAGTTAACCACTCAGGACATGACATGTGGGAAGTTAGTCCTAAATATATTAGCCAGCTGTTGCCCCTACGTACCTGTAGGGCAGGTGTAGTTCTATAACTGCTATGCCAAGATCACAGCTACACTGACATTCAGCTGCATTCTGCTATCATCTGGAAGCAACAGCCAGCAGCTAATGTGTTAAAATAATCATGAAAATGGGGGTGAGAACCTGCCTCCTCAATATTAAATAAGGAGGTTTTAAATGTCAGAAGCTCATAAGAACCATCTGCTTGTCAGCTCCCATCCAGCAACAGGACAGGTAGTTGGCATTTCACAGTGTGTTTGTCAGACATCCATCTGCATCAGATCTGGCATTTGTCACTGAAGATGCTGTCCCAGCTGGACTGCATACAACTGCCAATCACCTCCAACAGAGGCCCACGACCACAAGCAGAGCTCTCCCACTTCATGCCCGCCTGTGTGTAACGGGAAATAAGAGCAGCAGCAAGGTGGTGAAGAGTTTGTAACCTGGCCACACTTTTGCTCCCTTTGGGTAGTGGCAGGCTTTGTGCTTCCTTTCTGCTTGACTGCCAGGAAAAAGAAGCAGCATATAATAACAATAACAGTACCTTGCACAATGCCAGTGTATGGTATTACCGACACCCAATCATAACAACCTACAGGGCATATGAAGATGATATATGCAGACAGATCACATATGCCATGAACACACCTATAGGAAACCTTTCACCCTTTTCTTAGATGGGAAGCTAAGCCGTTCTGGAAAAATCACAGCTATAAAGCTATCTGGCATCCAGGTGATTACTATGAACAATGAAGATGTTAATGAGCCACCTCAAGTACTGCTGCCTGCCAACACCAGAGCTGAGCTCCTTGAGGTCCTGCTTTCTCCCATCACAGGTGACAACATCGCCAAGAGCATCAGCAGAGAGAGGGAACCACTCCTCACACTGCTTTGAGTGCTGGTGAAATCATCAGCCGCTACAAAGAAATGTAAATCCCCGGGAGGCTGGATTTCACCCCTGGTAATTAAGATACAATTTAAAATATGGCTGGAACGATTTAAAACAGAGGTCAAGTTTTTAAGTGCATGCATACTTTCACACTCATCTACTAGCTTCAAGTCAACCTGACCCAGGAACAGCCTTTATGGTCATAAAAAGGTTAAAGCGTAACTTAAGATACACAAAAAGCAGCTGGCTGACAGAGTTCTCACTGTCAACTGCCTGCGCACAGAGTGCAGCTGACAAAGGACACTCATCCTTCTTCCTCCTTGTGAGCTCTCCCCTTAGTTGTCATCTTCTCCCTCTTTCCCCTTGGCAGCCCAACTCGTACTCCCAAGGCTTCATGACCGTACCAGGCACCTTTCCTAAACCCAACCTGAAGTTTCCTTGCACATCCAGCTATGGGACACCTAAGAAGTGGGCAAAGAACAGAAGATGACATAGGGCACATGTTCCTCAGCCCTGAAGATGACAGCACAGTGGTGAGCACCCGAGGGGACCTTCCTGTGTTCTATCTGTACATCATCTGTCTTTTCAGAAACATCCTGCAATACGTTTACAAGCACAGCAGAAGCAGCCGGGTCAAACCAGTCCTCACAGATGGAAAGTATAAGCCAGGAGAAGAACAGATGTTTTATCCAGAGGGTTTGTTTGTTTTGGTTTTTGAAAATGATTCCATGAAGTTTTGGACAGAGGTAAACAGAGAACTTGTGTTTCATGATACCAAGCACTGTATTTTCCTCCACACTGCAGGATGCAGGAACATGTACTTCCCCCCCCCCCCGAGAATGTTCGTAGAATGGTTTAGGTTGGAAAGGACCTTAACGATCATCTAGCTCCAACACCCCTGCCATGTGCAGGATCACGTCCCACTTGACAAGGTTCCAGAAAACTTCTCTTTTTTCCTTCTAAAGACCCTAATACCTCACTACAACTGCTTTATCTACAGTATTTAGCTGCTTTTATTTTTTTTTACTGATACCTTCTTTCAGAATTGCAAAAACAACCAAAAAAGATAAATTTGTTTCAAACTTATTATTTTGTCTTCCAAGGCCCTAAAGCCTTTTTATTTGACTTCAAGTGCCTAAAGTTTTAAACTCCCCCAAAAACAAACAAACACCACCACCACACAAATAAATCAAGGGCAGTCTGTCACTCCCAACAAAGGGGCTCATAGCCCAAGTTTCTGCAGATCCTCCTATGCACTGCTTCTGGCAAAACACACATCATCACAGCATTTGAAGTTTAAAATGTCCAATAAAATGTGAAAATAGTAGAGGGAAAAGCACTGCATTTCCATCCACCCGACACCCAGGATGGCTTTTTTGTCAGGCTACACTTAAGCCCAAGTCCCAGGCTCCTTGAAATAGGACAGAAAACACACATATCCATGTCACTGCAGCCACAAGATCTAGCCCAAGCGCAAGATCCCCTTCAGGGCACTAATTAAAAAAATATGAGAACACTAAATAAGAAAAGAGAGTGGCAACTCCATTCTCATCGCAGGGATCCAAAGCAGGAGGAAGTATTCCAGCACAACTGTAAAATCTCCGAAGAGCCTCTCCTTTCATTCACAGCTTTCCCCTTGTTAAAGTCTCCGTCATGGTAAAGAAAAAAACAAACACAAGAAACAAGCTGTTTGAAGGAAGAGTTTAAATGCTCCTGTTTGCTTTTTAAAGAAACCCAACAAGACAACCCACCATCATGCATGATTGCTTTTCCACAGATCTACCAGAAGATACACATTGCGCAAGTATCCCAAGCACTTTCAAAGACAAGGAAGCCAAACAATATTTATAAACGGTCACATGTGCAGCAGGCTTGCTTCCTGCTGAAACGAGCCTGGAGCTTGTGCCGGACACGATCCCGGATCAGCGAGGCCACTGTGCACCGCACACAAGTAAGATTTTCCTTGGTTGCCTTTCAAGACTTAACACTGACATCTCCACACAGCGCCAGCATGGTGCCTCACGGCACATCACTCTCTGGAATCACCCCTCCTCCCACGAGAACAGCTGGGTCAGTCCCTCTCTGTAAGGTGATATTTACACATCGCTCTCTTAGGTACAAGGAAGAAACGCAGAGCCTGATCTAGCACCTTTCCCAAGGCACCCTGCCACATGCTAGTCACCACCACCATGTTACACTGGGTCTTCATTCGAGTACCAGCTTGACAATTGCGCCAAGCTGGACTGCCCTCTGCTCTGCACAAGCGGCGGACTAGAGGAGCCTTCTATGCACGCTGTCCCAAAGCGGTCCAGCTCACTTCCACTTAGGATTTGTGGCTGCACATCTGTATAATGTATCTCTGTGCTTCCAAAAAGCCTCCGGATTCACAAAGAAACAACAGAGCGGAGATAACAGGACGCATTTGCATGGGATTATCCCAACTATGCGGACTGCAGCCAAAACAAACAAACAAAAATAATCACCAAAACTTCTGTTACTTCCTTCCTGCGCTGGGGACACCAGGCAGCGGGACGGTGCCGGGACAGTCTCGCTTTGGAGGAGAAGACTCCCGAGGGGATCCCGGGAGAAGCCGGCGGTGTCGCAAGGGAAGTGGGGCCCAGGCTAGGATTAAGGGCTACCGGCCCCAGAGAGGCGGCGAGGCCCGGGCAGGGGGCAAGGAGCGAAAGCCTGGAGACCCCGACCGGAGCCACCAGCGCTGCGCACGGAGGGAGGGACCTGTGACACCGGCACAGACAGAGAGAGCCACGGCCCCAGCGCCTACCCGGCAATACCTCGCTCCCCCGGGGGACACCGGGCCCAGGGGCACGCGGAGAGGCTGCGGGCGAGCACCTCCTGGCCTCCGCACCGCGACTCCCGCTCCCACTGGGACACCCCACCCGCCTCAGGGGAGGCCGAGGGCGGCCAGCACGACCCTCGCCACGGCGCCCCGAAAAGCAGGGGGCGTCTCGGCCGCCCCATCCCGCCCTCCCCGCGGCTCCTGGGGGCGCTGCCCGGCCGGAGACGCCTCCCGCCCGCCGCTCCTCACCGTGTGGCACAGCAGGGTGTCGGGGTCGGCGGGCTCGCACAGCTCGCTCAGCTTGCGGTCCCAGTGCAGCAGCTGCGGCTGCTCCCCGCCGCTCTCGCACACCTCCATGGCGGCCGCCAGCAACGGGACACCCCCGCCTGCCGATCCACCACCACCTCCCCACACACACACACACACACCGCCTGACCCTTGCACGCCCACCCGCGGCGGACCGGCTCACACCGAGCCACCCACTCCCATGGGCCGCAGAGCCACGCTCACACCGCGCCGCGTCCCCGCCGGGAGTGTGCGGACACGGGGCGGGCGGGGGGGTCACCCCGCCAGCTGCGCGCCGCGCCCCCACCGCCCCGCGCCAACGCCACGCCCACGCCTGACCACGCCCCCGCCGCCGAGGCCGCCAATCGAGGGCAAGGAGCGCGGCTGACCGGCGGGCCGCGCCCCAATCGGCGCTCGGCCCCCGCACAGCTCCAGCTGTGGAATGTGGGCGGGAGCTCCCTAGGCGCGTCACGGCAGCGGGAGGGAGACCCGCGTGGCCCGCCCTGCCAATGGGGCACCGGGAGCGGCAGGCGCGCCAGCCAATGAGACAGCGACAAGACTGCTGCTGCCGCGCTCCGCACCGCCCATCCGCCTCTGGTGGTGTGAGGGCCAGGAGGGTCGGGCAGGGCTCGGCTCCGCCTGGGAGCCTGTGGTCTCTGCTCAGGCATCCGTCAGCTTCCCCCCCCCCGCCGGTCAGAGGCAGGGGTTTCCTGCCCACGGGAGGGAGCAGAGGCTCCACTATGAGTGAGCGAGGCCAGCCGGGGCCTGTCCACGGCCTCAGGAGAGCGTTCAGGCTAAGCGGCCGGGGCAACCACAGGCAGCCCCTCAGTCCCTTCAGCACCAGCAGTGCCGCTGCCAGGCTCCAGTGGACTTCAGCAGGGTTACTTGGTCTTCTGGCTTTGTTAAAAAGGAGGCAGGAAAAGCAGGTAATGCTCGGGATTTGTTATGGATGAATGTAGTTTTCCTGTTTATTTGAGACATGTCAGAACATACCTCGTAAAAAAAAACAGAAGTTTTACAATGAATTATAGAATCAATCAGGTTGGAAAAGACCTTCAAGTCTAACCGTTACCCCAGGACTGCCAAGGCCACCACTGAACCATGGCACTGAGGACCTCACCTACATGGTTTGTGAACACTTCATGTACAGTGACTCCACTGCTGCCCTGAGCAGCCTGTTCCAATGCCTGATCATCCTCTTGGTGAAGAAATTCATCCTAATACCCAATCTAAACCTCCCCTGGCATGGCTTGAGACCTCCTCTCTCCATCCTCCTTTCAGGCAATCGTAGAGAGCAGTAAGGTCCCCCTGAGCTTTCTCTTCTCCAGGCTAAACAATCCCAGTTCCCTCAGCTACTCCTCATACGACTTGTGATCTAGGCCCTCCACCTTCAAAGTCTCAGCTTTGAACTCCACATCAGTGTTGTGTGCAGCCTTGGTGTTCACAGCAATGGGTACTCCGTCACTGTCAGACAGCATTCCCAGCCTGCTGATGAACCAGCAGTGAAAACAATCCCAGTCAATGGGAAATTCTGATATTTTAGGACTTGCTTTCATGCCAAGCAGAGACAACACTGCCATTTCATTGCTCTTTAAAAATGAAAGATGTCAAATCTTAATGATTCAAGAAATCAGGCATGCTTCAGTGCTTCATTTCAGCTCCTGGAGCTCTGTCGAGGCATTTCAGTGTGGGTCAGTTCAACGCTAACTCACATTTCCATGCTGCGGTGTGCATGAACCATATGTGGATTTCCTGGTACATCCTGTCTCTTCTAGACCTCTCATTTAGCCTTCATCTCTTGCAGCACATCACTTTCATTCACTCACAGAGCATTTGTGCAGCCTGAGTGATACAGCCCTTGCTAAGGAGAGCCTAGACTAGCTCTCTGAGGAAAACCAAGTCATAAGGACTTTGTGGCACCCAGCAGCCACAACAGCTACCAAAAAACAACGGTGATTTTGTCAGGGTTGCCCCTTTAAGATTTCTTAAACCTGTTTTGTTTGATTAAAACAAAATAATTGAAAAAGAGTTACAAAAGCTATATTATTTGATGAAGGATATGAAAGGAAAATCCTTAACTGCCCCTACCAAAGATCTCCTGCAAAGATAAGTTGTTTTAAATCATTGCGAAACAGGTCAGCCCAGTATATATGCCCTCCACAGCACAGAAAACATCTAAAGCCAAATTACTAGTGCCGGAATTGCTTCCTACCACTGTGGCAAGCCCAACTGGAGGTACAGAATTCTTGTGTCCTGGCACTGCCAGGCACTGTTTTCAAAGCAATTACATTGTGCCAGTCCCAAGGTGCAGATTGTGAAAATTGGAAAGGTCAGTTCCTTACCCAGAAACCATTGTGTTTTCACTACATGTGTTCTTACTTTCAAAGCTTTCATGGCCTTGTGATAACCTGCTTAACAAAAGGCTCTCCATCAGATAGTTGGCCGATATTAGATCCTTCTAAAATTACTGTTGTGACTAGGGGATTTTTTGTGCTGGGGCACTAAATTAATGTTTTGCCTGTATGAGAAGCATAAAGGGAGAGCCATGTTTGCCTTGTAAGCCAACAAAGTAAAAGCAACCTTAAAAGAAGGTGGGTGACTGCAGCTTCATTTGCCAAACATTTCATTTGCTGAGGATGAGGGTCTCCTAAGGACTGCTATTTGACCAAGAATACTGGGCTGTGCTTTCTCGTCCTAACACATTTCTCAGGAAGCAATCCTTATGTAGGAAACAAGTTGCACAGTGCATACTTCTGTTGTTCTCCCTTGGATGAAATACTCATGGGAAATTAGGCACCCTGGGTGCAGCTTTACCCAGTGGTCTCCATTCTTCGTTTCCCCAGGGGCTGTCTTGCGACACTGGTACTGAGGCAGAGCTGCTGCTGTGGTACACAGTGCTGCTGAGGATTTGCAAGTATCTTGGAAGATTTCACTGGCACTGAAAGATTTTGATACACAGACTATCCGTTTTTGGACCTTATCACAGATAAAAAACATAATATTGGTAGCCAGACATTGGTAACTGGGCATCCTGCCCAGTTCCTGCCATACTATTAAAATCAGTGTTCAAGGCTACATCTCATTTTTGAGCTTCAACGCTTCTAAAACCTGAGACTTTGTGAGGAAAGGTGACCAATTTGCCCTGTCTGGTGGCAACTAACAGCATATGGACCACACTGATGATTTTGTGCTCCAGCACTGGTTCTTCCAGGGAAAAGAAACCTGTATTAGCAAATATCTGCTAAAAATTAGCAGCACATACAGGGCAGCAAGAAATACAAAAGTGGAAGAAATTAATCCTTTCCAAAGAATATTAATTATTCAGTGTCCTGATACAACACATGGGATAGCAGTCTAATGTGTCATTCATTGCTACTCAAACTGGTGCTACACCAGAAATCAGGCACTGTGGAAACCACCACGAAACCAGCAAGGACATTACACAAACCCAGCTATCCTCCTAGCTTTCCCCCATATTGCTTGGAGGATTTTAAATTGTAGATTTCAATAGTTAGTAGCATGCTGCTAATGAAGGCTGTTTTTCTATTTCATAACTTTCAGAGCTGCTTCAGTAGTATTTTTAAGTTCCAACTCATCTAATTCTGAGCCTTGATTGCTCCTTTTGTGTAAGACCATTTCCTCACCACAGATTTATGAACTGGGTTTGAATTCACTCTCCAGCACAGGGAAGCAGTGCAAAAATTGACAACAATCTACACAAAGATAAAAAGGTGGGGGCTTATTGTTTGTAGAGATAGGGCTGAGGGGAGAGGAGATTAGGTATTAGGAAAAAATTCTTCACTATGAGGGTGTTGAGACACTGGCACAGGTTGCCCAGAGAACCTGTGGCTGCCCCATCCCTTGCAGTATTCAAGGCCAGGTTGGATGGGGCTTGGAGCAACCTGGTCTAGTGAAAGGTGTCCCTGCCCCTGGCAGGGGGTTGGAACTGGATGATCTTTAAGGTGTTTTCCAACCCAAAACATTCTACAATTCTGTGACTCAAGGACAGCAGAGCTGAGCTCAATTTTATTTTCCTGAGTATTGTTGCCTTTCTGCAAGGAACAGTAATAAGCCCACACAGAAAAAACAAACAGAAAACCCACACAGAAAACCGAACTAGCTAAGAAAGAGGAGGCTTTTAAGGCAGAGGTTCAAACAAACACCACTTACTTTAAATATCAAAGAAAAAAAGCCAACAATAATACAAGCCTGTAAATCACAGAAAGCCTGGCAAATGAAAGGTGCTCTTTTTTCCTTGCAGATCCAGGTTACAGAAGCAACTCCTGTGACCGCATCATTACTCAGTTCTAGATCAGGTCAGTTGCATAAAGGCTCATTAAATATTTACAAGTGACATTTTTCTGACTTGTGATAACCAGGATCAAGATAACCATCCATCTTCTACAAATATTCTGTTCAAATAAGTTTGAGAAGTCAACCAGCGAGAAAAGAACAAACAGCAACAGAGCCAAGAGGATAACAATTGCTAGGGTTTTGACTAGCTAAAATGAAAAATCTTAACCTTGAAAGCCACAGAAAAAAGCCATTGTTAGAGGTTTCTTCAACAAAGTCGGCACCTCTTAAAGGTACAGGGCACAAATTTAGGACTAAGAACACAAGGAATGACCAAGCCACCAACTTCTAATCCCAGTACTTGTGGAGATTGTTCCAAAATGGCAATGCACTGATTTTTTTGTCTTGGACATAAAGCAACAAGCAGCAGAAACAAATGTCACATACACCAGCATGCATTTCCCACAAAAGGACGTCTCTGTAAAAAATCCTGTAAAAGTTGATTTCTTTGTGTCATGTGTAAACACATTACTTGCACTACCCAGTACCTGGTAATGCATTAACAAAGCCAGTTCCTTGAGTAAATGAGATTTAAATCATGCTGCTGTGTGGAGAAGCTCACTATTGCCAAGATAAAACAGCCACCAAATCTCAGTGCATACATACAGACACACTCAACTATTTGGCAAAAAGGCTTCTACCACAGAAATTTCAGAGTTAAAAGTAGAAGGTGTGCTTGAGAATAGTTTTCTTCCCACAATCCTGGCATTATATTCCTTTTCTGACATGAATACTTGTGAAAGAAGTAGGATCCCCAGTTCTGGAGACAGCCGACTGCTAAAAAACACATAATTGGTACACTGACAGGAACACAGGTTCTGTTTACCAGAATATTCCTAGTTCTTGTACCCAGGGACTTCTCAAAGCACTAATTCAGCTTCCTTGCCTTTGCAATTCGCAGCCTCT